CATGCACAATCGAACAAAAACAGATATAGGTGTGCGTACTTCCGCCCTTAAAGCCTTTCAAATTAATAGTACTATCACAGATAAAATATAAGTACTATGCTAACTTAGTTTAATAGAAATAGATTTATCTGTCTAGAAACGAGAAACGTTCTGTCCTTTTTAATTTTCCTTTAATTAGGGTTAAGTTTTATGTCAAGTTTTTGGAAATGACGTAAATTATCATCGATTGTCATTCCCCAGTCGTCTTTGACGCCGTTTTTTTTTGACTATACGGTATTTTTAGATATATATTCGTGCCTTAGAAATTCCTTAGTTCTTAGACACCCTGTACAGGGTGGCTCGAATTCGACGTTCATCATTGGGATTTCGGAAACCGTAAGAGATACAGGATCGGTTAAATGGAGCCTAAATGTTGCGCAATTTGATTCTCAATAAAATGCCCTATTGGATTTTGAAAAATTCCGAATATTTCCGAATATATTCGAAAAAAAACGGAATTTTCAATTTTGTTTTCTGTTGTTTCCTGGCTTTATTTGTTAAGATAACTTAAAATGAAAAACACATTTTCATGGCTACTTTTTCTGCTCTATAACTCTGTGTGATTAAATATTGACTCTGACGTTTCGGCTTCTGGCGACCCTCATCAACTTATTTTTTTTAAATACGGACCTGATTTTTTTTCAATTTAATTAAATCCTTTCATCACTCTTAAAGCACTATATACCGTGCTGGCAACTGTTACTTTTGGGTCGGCATTTACATGTGTGGAAGTAAATCGCATAGGGATCTTATTAAGTCGGAGTGAGAGAAATGCGACCGACCGACGCGACGCGCGCCGGTGTGCTGTTGCGGCGTTGCCGATACGATTTTTAAAAGACTTTTTTTTCAAGAGATAACTAGATAAAATCATTAGACATGTTTCTGAGCATCTGAAATGGAATTATAAGGATATCGTTAAGGTGTCATTTTTTTTATAACGAGAAAACGTCAGTAATCGCGATAATTTAAAAACTGAACTTTTTAACACATAACAGGCCATAACTCAAGAACCACTTTAGATATTGAAACTTTTGTCAAGATCGGACATTTTACAATATGTTTACATAAGAAAAATTCGATAAGGTTGTTTTTTCCATTCAAAAATTGTAAACAATCCATCTATTTACTTTTAGAGTATAGCAATTTTCAGCAATCGTGTATTTTTTTTGATAAAGATTTTCACATACTGTCTACAAAGAAAATACAGCAGAAATATCAACAAAGTTCTTGAAAAAACTACAATCTATTATTTCTAATAGATTTCGAGATATCAATTTTTGAATTCAGAGTTCTAATAGCGCGACCACTATCGAACACCCCTCAATTCCGCTTATTTTTACCAAAATTGCAAGTGTTTCTAGCTTGCACTAAAAAAAATTCAAGTTATAGGGAAAATTACAACGACTCGTTAATAAATAAACAAATTAAGTATCACGAGACGTAATTAAATCGTGAAGCTGAACGCATAACGTACACCTTTCCATAGAACTTTAAGTACTGACAGAGGTATTGATTGGGTCGACCGGTCAACTGCGACAAATCGACTTATCCCCTTCCACGTCTCTTAGCGATATACACAGTTTCTCGGTTTATTTCATACGTTTGGCAACGTGTTTACTGTCCTCTCTTTGTTCAGTACATTATAAACGCATTGTACTCTTCTTACATACGGAAATCTCGACAAACCTTTGCCAGCCCTTAGTATAGTCACTTTGATATTTGCCGACGTTTCGTACAGAAAATTCCATCACCAGAATATTCTATGCAAAAAAATCAAAAGTAAAATTGCAATACGGCATTTTATTGAGCATCAAATTGCGCAACTTTGCCTCCATTTAACCGATCCTGTATATATCTTTTACGGTTTCCGAAATCCCAGTGATGAGCGTTGAATTCGAGCCACCCTGTACAGGGTGTAAGTAAATGAATAAATGTGAAAAAAATCAGGAAGTGATACTCGTTTTTCTAAATTGACTGTTTTACATTAGAAATTTGTGATTTCAAAAAATTTGTCTTTAGTTATTCATTAATTTGTTTGATGCAATCAAAATTAATTGCTAACAATTATAAGTCAAATAAATCCTTTATTTGCTATTTTTCGGTCATTTTTATGACTGAAAAAAACATCAAACATTAAAGAAAAAAATTGGGCTTATTGTTTAACAATACCCAAAAAATATATGGGTGCATTGTGTTGAGGTTCAGTATATACCTCAAGCAGACTATGAAAGACAGTCATATATACAGAGTCTGTGGGCTATTTAGGGCACACGTGTGCGCCATATGTTCTCCATTTTGAACAATAAAAACCTATTATACAGTTCCGAACACAATACTCTCTTGCAATTAGCTTGTTGATGTCAATTTGAGCTGTCTAAATCAATCAGTTTGGCTTTAATTAAGTTAAATAAAATTAAGAAAATGACCGTTGACCTGTCACAATAAATGGTGATGAGAATAAACTACAATTTTAATTTCAACATTACCATATTTTTATTATTTTTTTTAGTAGCTAGAAATTGTGAGATTTTTCAAAGATTGTTTTAGTTTTTAGTTAAAAAACATAATTTCCTGATAATATGGCAACAAAAAATAATTTTTTACAGCTATTATACGAGGCATGTTTTTTAAGTAAGTACCGTTTTGCGATTCCGCCGCCGCAGCGCTACGGTCGGCGTTCCGCGCATGCGCGCTGGTTACCTACATCTCTTGTCTATGCACAGACGCCAGTACAGTCTGATTCTTCATTGTATACGTTGTTTATTGAGTGTTTAAGATGCCTCCGACAATCGTGAGCCCCGCCGATTGTGAAGTACGGACTGTCATACGATTTCTTAGTGCTAAAGGCGTAAAACCGATCGATATTCATCGTGAGATCTCTGTGAAGTTTACGGACAAAACATTATGAGTGATGGAATGGTAAGGAAATGGGTGAGAGCATTTAAAGATGGCCGCACAAATGTGCATGATGAAGAACGGAGTGGGCGTCCTTCGGTCGTTAATGAAGATTTGGTGCAGAAAGTGGACGAAAAGGTGAAAGAAAACAGACGCTTTACAATTTCATCATTGTGCGACTACTTTCCTGAATGTTCTCGTAGTGTTTTGTATCGCATTGTGACCGAGAACTTGAATTACCGGAAATTGTGTTCACGTTGGGTTCCGAAAATGTTGACGGATTTGCACAAAACCCAACGTTTAGGCAGTGCATTGACTTTCCTTGAGCAGTACCACAATGAAGGTGAAGATTTTTAGACAAAATTGTTACTGGTGACGAAACATGGGTGGCCTACGTCACACCAGAATCGAAACAACAGTCCATGGAATGGCGACATTCATCATCACCCAAAACAGTGAAGTTTAAGCAAACAATTTCTGCCCGGAAAATCATGTGCGCAGTTTTTTGGGACAGAAAATGAGTATTGCTAGTGGAGTTTCTGCCTCGTAATGAGACAATCAATGCAGCATCTTATTGTGAGACATTGAACAATCTGCGCCGTGCAATCCAAAACAAAAGACGTGGCAAGTTGAGTAAGGGTATTGTTTTGCTGCATGACAATGCCCGTCCACATGTGGCTAATCGGACCAAAGATCTCATCAAATCTTTTAAATGGGAAACTCTAGATCATCCTCCATACAGCCCCTGATCTGGCGCCCAGTGACTACCATTTATTCCTGCACTTGAAGAAACACCTGGGCGGTCAGCGTCTTCAAGACGATAACGAAGTCAAAACAGTTGTGATACAGTGGTTAACCAGTCAGGCGGCAGAATTTTATGAGGAGGGTATTGAAAAACTGGTGCCACGTTATGACAAGTGCCTCAATATTCACGGAAATTATGTAGAAAAGTAGATTAAGGTACAGGCTTTCATGTAAAAATAAAATTATTGCGATATCTTTGCACGTTTTTTTTTTAATTCCAAAACGGTACTTACTTAAAAAACATGCCTCGTATAAGCTATCTTGTACCGCTTCCCACAAGAGGTTCTAAAAAGAACAATGTTCGACTGCAAGGTCTGCTAGTAAACATTTTCAACCTAAAAGTATCACAACGCTATTTATTTAAAACAAAAACTGGTAATACATAAGGTAATACAAAACTAAAATGTCAAAACGAATGACAATGTCAGGAAATAAATAAATAAATGTGGCAACTTGACATTTTTTACAGCAGAGCTACCACCTGAATCCCCAGCGCGAAATTTAAATTCCAGTTAGTCAGCCCGGCGCCGAGTATTTCCAAGGTTGGCAACAATGAACTTAAAAATCGCGCCCTCGGTTACGTAACTAGAAGATTAATTAATATGAAATATAATTTTGATATGAAATAATTATTATAACTTATCTATATTTATATGAAATATATATTTCTTAACAATATTAATAACTGATATTGTTTATTGGCAACGTAAAATAAAACCAACAATTTATTGAATCTACCCTATATATTTTTACACATTTTAAAATTCGAAAAATACGAAATTTTACCACCCCTAAAAATATCTGCAATTATTTAAGACTCGTCCTGTATTTTACGAGCATCAGATCGAAATAAAAGTAAAATTTCCGAAAAAAAACATCACTTTATTGATTCACTTCGATTTATTTAAATTCAGAGAATCACCCTGTATACAAAAATAAACGACAAAAAAATAATAAAAACGTCGTTTAAATCTTATTGATTTAAGTAGCGTATAGTACCAATTCTGGGTACCTACAACGAACGACCTTGCAAGGCAATCTGGTTCAAGACGTTAACATTATTTAGGATTACAAAATACTCGCAAAAACATGGGGGGTTTCACGAATTTAACCCAAATTCCAACAAGATTAAATACCAAAGATCCTCTACTGATAACATGACACCTTTTTTTCTGTGAAATATACCTACTATATTTTTGGTATTTTTTTTTTCTTGATACAATGTCTGATTCATATATGAAGAAAAAAAAGTGGGTACTTACTTACCTACCAACAAAATTCCATAAAGTCGTTAGATCAATGTCAAGGGAGAACTTCAGACGGTTAGGGGTTGAAAAATATCACTGTAAACACACAAAAAACACTTTGAAACACTGTATATACAGAAATGATTATTCAGTATCCTAAATTTAATTAAAAAACGCCGGTTGATAGGGAAAAATTACGTTTTGAACCGGTTAAAAACTAAGAAAAAAACTTTAGGTATAAACGCGGTATATTTAGGCCCTTTGGGTTGTTTCCTTTAGGGCAATTCAAGTTGTTTTGAAGAGCAGGAGACCGACAGCACAAGGCGGCATCGCGCACTCACAGTGGGGAACGGCCTTAGCGGAAAATCGAATGCGTTCGCAAACCAGTGGCGTAGAAACTGGGGTTTTATCATAATGAAATGTATTATTAAAAAATACATACCTATGATCGCGCAACGGTGCGTTAGGCATCTGTATATACGGTTATCGCAAAACATTTTCCGATGCACGTCATCAAGCATATATCGAAATTGACACTAAAGTCTGTAAACCTGACTGAAATTGAATTTTGCCAAAAATGTTTAAATTTGTTGTATAATTTAAGATACCGCTGCTCTTCATTTTACTTTATAGAGCAAATGATAGTAACAGATATTTTATTTGGATTAAAGCTGCAAAAATTAGTTGAAACCAATTTTATTATCGCTATGTTGGTCACATTGCAACGTTGTCGTTTATTATTTGACAATCATCATAATGTCGTAAGTCATTATTTTGCATAATATCGTGTTGTTATTGAATCTTTGTGAGCAATTCTCGTTTTTTGTCTTTTTTTATAAATTGTACTTTTAAGCACAAACAGTTCTTTTAAGAACTAAATTTTCGAGTTTTTGTATTGCATTTCTTGAAATTGTGTGTTAAAAATATGCCGAAGCATTTAAACAGTCGAAGCAAAAAGCTTGTAGCTTTCCTGATAAACTGTTTTGAACGAGAACGTGAATATATAGGTGCTTTATTACCCTTGGTTGCAGTCAGAGAAGTAAGTTTGATTGGTAAGCACATTATCCCACTTTCAAAGTTATTTCTACGTTAGATTTTAGTAAATTTTGTGATTATTGTGTGTGCATTAATGGCACCCTCTCTTACTTGTTAGCCATTTGTGGTGTTGTAAAACTTCCTCTTTTAACGTGTTGTATAACTTTAACAAAAAATTTGAATTAAAAAAATACATTTTTCAATTAATATTTTAAGTGTTCCCTCCTTAACGTGCCGCCCATGGTAGAGGAACCCCCTTCGCAAACCATGTTGCGCACGCGTTTCTCGCTTAAATCGATATTTTGTTGATTCGTTTGACAGTCGCCAGCCCGCCTGACTTTTCGCTTTACCAGCGAAATTTTGTGTTCTTTTTGTTGATTTTTGTTAATAGTTTGTTAGTAATTTTTGTTATTAAAACATGGAAGTTGTAGAGGACAAACACGAAGATGAAATGTTCCTGGTTTCATCAGATACAGAGTCAGATTATGGTGACGAAAACTATCTTTTTTACGATGAAAATTCCGATACAAGAAAAGAAATCAAAGATCGATTGAGTGCGTTTGACAGGTAGGTCAAAACTTGTTGCATTTTGCATTAATTACTATAGTCTAATGCATTTACCAAATTCTACTTATATAAAATAAGAAAATAAAAGTGTTCTAGCTGTTTAAAGTGAATTTAGGTCATTGTATGAGGGTACCCTCATAATCAGAGTGATTGTATTGATCCAAACCTTTTCAGTGATACTGGCGGTATGTCGGAAGTATACCAAGAACGGTTTTTACCAAAATTAAAAGATAAAACACCAAATTTCCTGACATGGCTCGTCGATACTGACCTACTCTCTTCTACAGTGAGCTGTCCCAACGCTGAAAGCGATCCAAACTGTTCACAATACATGGAGTATGTATTTGCCTTCGGATTATACGATTCATATCAGTTAAGGTACTTTTATTTTTAAAGAAAAGTTATGGTAGTGTAAAAAAAACAATCTTCTAGGTGCAGAAACTGTTTATCTAAAGAATCTATAAGGAAAAAATCGATTTTCTATGGTGTTAAATGTAACCTGAGAAGTGCAATAAGGATATTGTACGGCTGGGTTAAAGGGGTAGATCTCGAAGTCATGTCCAGTATGTTAGGTAGGTAATATCAATAAAATATAGCTTTGAATAGAGAAACTAACCTTATTTATATTGTTTGCTGCTAATAAATCAGATTTTGTAAGGATCAGCCAGGTAAAAGTTATAGATTAGTTTATATATCTGTAAAAATGTATTTTTTTAATGTACATGTGTCCCATTTTTGTTTGTATTATAGGGTTTCTCGTATATATAGGACAAATCTGTGTGTACATTACTATGTACTGGAGCTTTGTATATTTACTCCTAAATGAGAGACCCTGTAAACACACCTGTACTAATGATGAATTATTTTTTTTCTGTATAGGTTTAGATAGGAATATAATCGGAACCATATATAATAGAGCTGCAAAAATAGCTCTGAGTTGTCTGAGTGTGTCTCCAGAGTTTATAGAGTTTGGTGGAGAGAACTCTGTGGTTTTAGTTGATATTTATCCCAATATGCTACAGTGTCCAAATAAACTAAAAACGTGTAGACCAATATTGTGTATAGCAGAGGCTGAGGTAACAATAAACAGTAAACGTACAATATAAGTATGTCTGTATATATTTATAGGAGGTTATGTTCATATTTTCGCCCCTTGTATATTCATTAGTATATTTCGTTTATCGATCTTCATATATAATTTATATATGACCATATAATCATCATATATAAAAAATGACACATAAAAATAATATAGGATGTTATACAGGGTGGCGCATCTCATTCGCGTTGGTTGATTATACGAAAACGGGAAGATATAGAAACAAAATATTTTATGGGTATAGGTGGGAAGGCAATGTACATAATTTAAAATTATTTTGAAATCTGCAGGGTATGTCAGAACTAAGATCCACACCAAAATTAGTATTCTATTTTATTTTTGGATTCTTGGGCACAAAATACAGCATTTATTATAAGGGTTAAATATGTTTAAAAGCTTTGGTTTTTGAGATATTTAGAGATATTTAAATATGCATGCTATAATAAAAAAAATGTCAACACCCTGTACATTACTTTTCAGAATTAATTCTTGCGCTGACTTTTAAGCCAGAGAAATAAACTTTACAGAAAAATTTGATCGCTTCGTTTAATGTATACAGGGGTATCAAACATTGCTGGTCTATTTTAAATATTTATTTTACATAAAAACTTCGTTATTTCAAATACAACACACTGTATTTTTTTAAATAAATCCAAGCAGATTTAAATGCTCTTTCAAACTATATTAGGGTTTCCTACACCTATCTAGCTCAGATTTTGAATAAAGAGCAATTTTTCAATAAAATGACAATTAAGAGGGCTGGTGTTGTCATGGCAAGTTTTTAGTGACAGTTAGTAGCTATTTTCATAATTAAAATTAGTTTATGGACTTTATAGGAAAAAAAAATATAACTTTGGTATGGATCTTAGTTCTGAAACACCCTGTATATTTCAAAATAATTTTAAATTGTGCACATTGCCTCCCCACATATATTCATAAAATATTTTGTTTATAAATCTTTCCGTTTTCGTAAAATCAACCGAGGCGAATGTGATGCGCCACCCTGTATATAAGTTATGTATGATGTCATATAATTTTTATATGATAGTACTTATATATGATCCTTTACGATATTTTTTATATATGATCATATACATAGACTTAAAATAAAATATAGACTGAGCATCTCATTCATAAATAGCTGGAACATGCGGTCAGACACTGTCTTGTTATTGTTGTGTTATTGTTTTAGGTTATAACGAGTGCGACACGAGCGATAGATAGGTTGTCTCTGTCGTAACGGTCGTTCCTTGATGACTCTGCCGAGAAACACAACACTGTCTTTCGTTTCTCAAGTACACCTGAACTCTCCATATCATAGCCGGGTAATTTTTTTATTTTAATGAAGCTATAATTAAATTAAAAATATATCGTATTTAAACTTTTTTATATTTTATTAAGATTTAGGAAAGGTTTTTTAAATAAAAGTTTAGAAAAAACAATTAGAGTCCAAAAAGGATAAAAATAATAAAATACACGTTATAGAAGAAATTTTATAATCGAAATTAGGTAATTTTTTAAATTAATAATAAATTATTAATTTTAGTCAAACATTTACAACCCCTAATATTAATCAAAACAGGATCTATTCCACAGATATAATAGAAACGGCGACAGGGAGAGAAAAAAAAATATGATTGTTGTAATTTTTTTTCTGGTTAAGTGACGTCTTATTATGTAAATTAGAGAAACCATAAATCTGTTCCATTAAAGCAAGGAAGGTGATAGGAAGTGGATAAAATAAAAACTACATTTATTTAACTCGGCACTGTCTTTATTATACCGGGTGCGTCTCAAAAGTGGCTCATCCCCATAATTTTTTTATATTTTCAAATAAAAAAACAAGATTTAGTATGTTAGTATATGAAATAAATTAGGATTGATTGACGCATTCAATTGTTTTTGGTCACTTCCTGTTTTACCGGAAATGACTATAACTTTTAATTTTTAAACGGCACCCTCGGTATATTTCTACTTTATTCGATAGAAAATGACACTCTGAATAGAATGACATATCATATGTCAACTTTTGACATTTTCGCATATGGTTTAATTGTAATTGTAACACGCGGTTCATAACGACAATTTGACTCGAAATACCAAGTGTGTGGTATCAATATATTCATAAAAAAATGCTTTTTCCAAATATGCTAATGAGTCACCCTTGTTCCATTTGAAAAAATTGATATATGTATGATTAAAAATACGATTTGTACATCTTTTAACCGGCCTAGACAAGACACGAAACCTATTAGACGATCAAAACTATTTTTCCAAGGCTCCTTGATTAAAACTTAGTGGATTGAAAAAAAACTCGATTGAAATTTAAAATAGGATATGTTTTTAAGCGACAATGTCAAAAGTTGACATATGATATGTCATTCTATTCAGAGTGTCATTTTTTATCGAATAAAGTAGCAATATACCGAGGGTGCCTTTAAAAATCAAAAGATGTAATCATTTCGGTGAAACAGGAAGAGACCAAAACAATTGAATACGTCAATAAATCTAATTTATGTCATATACCTACTAACATACAAATCTGTTTTTTATCTGAAAAAATAAAAAAAGTTATAGGGTTGAGCCACTTTTGAGACGACCCGGTATATTAAAAAATATTGTTTCATAATGTAATATCATTTTAAAATTCTTGTACGTTATTTTAGATTCTGAAGATAATTTTAGAATAAACCGGAATATATTTTTAATAAAAACAGTATTAATTATTAACAGGGTTATAATTATGATTTTGTTACAATGTAAGTAAGTAAATAATGTAATGTAAAAAAAAAAATTCAGATTTTACATTTTACTAAAATATTATCTAAATAAGTGCCTTTCTACAACAACGCCACTGACTGCCAATGGGTAAATTGAGAGTTGCCTACCGGTCAAAAGTCGTTTCAAGACTTAAATGGATTATTTAAGTCAAATTTCTTGCAAATTTGGCACTGGCGAACCATATTTTATAGTTTTTGAACAGAAAAAGTCAATAAAATAAACACTTAAGGACTACAAGCTAAGAAAATGTGTTAATACAGCCGGGGAGATAGCGGCAACAAAGCTTTACCGCACACGTGTGACACGTACTACAAGGTAATAAATGAATGAATAGGCTCCCTCGCCTCTAATCGGTGTTGTCATATTGTAAAGAACTTATCCTTATTAAACAGTATCCGACTTATAATTTAGTAGTATAAGGACTATTTAATACATCTATGGAATATTAAAACCTACTTTATTAAACTGTAGTATTAATATCTCAATATATGTGTATAACAAGAAAAAAAATATTGATAATATTAAAGACGTGACAACATAGGCTGGATGAGGAAGGCTCGGTCGACTGTACCCAGAAGTAAACATGTGTACAAAAAAGGTTGTTTGTCCGCGTTGAGATGTAAATAGTGTAGTCTATATTTTATTTTAAGTCTATGATCATATATGTCATATAGTATCTATTTTTATTATTTCTCTATTCAGAAAATTGCAAAAATTATATATTTATATGAACATTTGTTAGTCTAATATTCTGGAGTCGTTTTTGGATAATCTACATATTTTTTGTCTGAAAATGTCATTATAATTGTCCCTCTTCGCATTTCTGTAAGGAAAATTTAAAAAAAATTCGACATACCTATATCGTACTAGACCCCAATAAATATTTTTTTATTTATTTGCAAATAATAAAATGTAATTTTTAGAGTTTTCCTCAAAGGTTCTGGCTGCAAGAACTGGATTTCTGGGACCCACAGGATCCGGAACAAATAAGTAAGGTTAGGAAGAAAATAATTTTTGCTATTACAACCCTGGTTAGGCGTGGATCTACCCTGATCTTACCCAACTACGAATCTATGCCACTGCCCGAGAATATCGAAGTACTTAAAAAGAAATACGCCACGATAAGGTTTATGGATGAACTAATGAAATTTGCGTCAGAGCGAAGACCTGTGTATCCTATTCTGGATACCATCTGGAAAAAACCTGTTAGTTTGTGCGAAGAAGCTCAATTTTATAACCCAGGCTATGTGAGTCAATTCCTGATTCGAAATATCTGGAACGAGGCTACCGGGAGAGACAGTTTTATAATGTTGATCATTTTTATTGTGTACGTTACTCGAAGAAAAAACATCGAAGATTATTTATAGGTTAAAAACAGTATTTTTCAAAGACATCTAACTTAACGGAGACAAAACAAGTTATATAGTCTATAAAATGAATAACTTTGAATTTTGACCGTTATTTTTTACCAACATGGCAAATATAAAATCCCTCTATCAAAAAAGCTACTGATATTCTTTAAATTGAGTGCCTAAACGAATCAGATAGGTAACTCTTTTAACTTTCGTGAAATAGAAAAGGAAAATAATAAAACAAGTGACAGTTCTTCCTCTTCTTGCAAAAATCAACACGAAATGTCATAATTGTGAAAAGTAAAATGTCATCAGCTTTTGACATTTCTAAATATCAGACCAATGCCGTGTGTAATAGAACAGGCTCGGAGCGAGATTTATGACGTCACGCTAGTTAGATACTACGGATTGATAAATATGTTGTAGAATACATGGAAAACATAATTATTCCTTGTATGTTTGGTTTGTATTTTAAAAATGATTTAGTTTACATGAAATATACATAATATACAGTTAATAAATACAATATATATAACTAACCTAACCTATTTATAGTAATAAATAATTTGGCAAATAAACTATGAAAAATACAAATGTTTTACAATATACAAATAATGAATAGGTACATAAGATAATGGGTAAAATGTAAAATATATTTTAAATATTGGGGTTTGAAAATCGATCTAATTTACCAAAAAACATTCAATATCTACTAATAGTGATGTATTGTTATGAAAAAATTATATTTGCAAATAATACAATATCATAGAAAAAAAGTTAGTTATTTTATATGTAAAATTATTCTAAAATTTTTTATTTTCTTGGGATTTAGGTTCGGGAAAAACGCTGATTAAGTTTTCATTTGGTTTTTCATTATTTTTATTTAGTTAAAAAAAACGTTTCGGCTAACATTATAGCCTTCATCACTGTTGTGTCATGAAAAAAATAGTGTCGAATATAATCCAAAAAATTACATATAAAATATTCACACCACATAATGTTTACTGCAATTAATAAACTAATATAAACTTGTCAAAAGATGACCACCATATTTTTTAAAATTATTATTCTTAACACTAAAACTCTCTACATTAACTATGGAGTACGATTTCAGCCATATTGTAAAACATTTGCTGCATTTGTATGGTTCATAGTTTATTATAGGTATATATATATATATATATATATTATATATATATATATATATATATATATATATATATATATATATATATATATATATATATTGTATTTATTAACTGTATATTATGTATATTTCATGTAAACTATATAATTTTTAAAATACAAACCAAAAATACGAGGAATAATTTTGTTTTCCATGTTTTCTCTAAATATTTATTAATCCGTAGTATCTAACTAGTGTGACGTCATAAATATCGCTCCGAGGCTGTTCTATTAGAGACGGCATTGCGTCAGCATGGCCTCAAGTTGCTAACCTAATAAAATTAACACTAGAAAAGCCCGCGGGAATTGTCAAATTCAAAGTTATTCGTTTTACAGACTATACTTTATCCCGATTAAACATCGTTTTCAACAAAAATCGTTGATGCCAAATTTCTGCGGTTTGCCTTAGATCTGCAGCTTGTGTTTAAAAACAAAAAATGTTATAAATGAAATTTTTCCATAGCAACTGTTAGAATTGCCTTATTCCTCTCAAAAACAGTAGATGAAATAGTACTTTAACCGCAAGGGCAGATTAAATGATACTTAAACAGCGAGGATATAGGTTAAAAACTTTATTTCTTCTCGCACGTTTTTTAATTGCTTCCATTTTTAAAAAAAATTGTATTCCTTTTCATAAGTTATTCGGGATTTAAATGGAAGTAGTTTGGATATGGCTTTTGTCGCCTCAGCCTGAATATCTGTTGGTAATTTACTTATTTCGTTTTGAGCCATTTCTGGCTGCAATTCAATCAGCAATCGACCTGAAAGAAAATAAAAAAATATTGACTCAAAACTTATTTGTCAAATTACATAGAAACCGACGCCAACCCAGCACAATAAAGAATATTTTTTTCTGCTCGTAATAAATTCCTTGAAATAATAATTTCTGAATATTTTTTAACACGTAACTCGCTATGGAACAAAATATTGTTTTGTACACGATGATAAAATTGCATTATCGCCTTGTATAAAAAATAACTATTAATGTTTGTAGGTTAATTTTAGTTAAAATACGCAGATTAAAGCTTTAAAATTATTTTTAGTTTTCTAATTAAGTTAAATTAAAATTTATTTAGGGAAGTAACTGTGACAACGCCGCTTCAGGAAGATTTGATTCTGTCAACTTAGGTTTAACAGTGTTGCTGCGCGGTGTTTGTGAGCTTTTGTGTTTTTCAACTAATTTTTACTGTTTTTGCAAAAGAACTGTTTGAAGTATTTTTAAATATATAAGATGGTTTGTCAATGCTTTGTTTGCAAAATGGTGGACCATTCTAGTCCCAAATTGATATTTTGACGGTAAGTTACGTAGCCTATTTTTAGCTTTAATAGTGGTGTACTTAATATTAGTTTAAAGTAGGACATTACCAAAAAAAGATTATTGAAAATAAAATTATAGTTATACGATTTCCATGGACTTCACATCTTGAATTCTCACGTACTATTACTATAACAGAAAATAATAATTATATTAACATTATATTATACAAGGTGAGTCTTAAATAAGTGCAAATATTTTAAGGGGTATTATATCTCGACCGCAGAAACATGATTATGCGTTTTTTTCGCGAAAAAAAATTGTTTTTACTTAAAAAACACAATTTTCTAATAATATGGCAACATAGGTAGTGGATTAAATTTACAAGAAAGAAAGCCCAGAAAAGATCCAGTGGCTCTCAAAATTTTACCAAAAAAATATATTTTTTTTGGACATTTTCAAAGCAAAATAACTCGGTTATTTTAGATTTATTTGAAAAACGGTAGAGAATATATGTTTCTTTTATCGAGATCTACCAACCCCGAAAATATTTGCACTTATTTAAGACTCATCACCTTGTATATTATAAATCAAAATTTAAATTACTATTTACGATCGTTGAAAAAAAAAACCGCATGCCACTTGTAAACCGAAAAGACAGAAATGCTCACGAAACTCAACAGCGTTGTCATATTAATTCAGCCACCACTTTTTAACTTATATAAAAGTGTTAAAATATGTATGTTTGTAAACAACTGGTGGTTTTATGAATGGAGTATTGTGTCTCTCCTTTAGTTAGATGTCTTTGTTATTTTCTATGATACATTTCTTTTTTTTTTATATGTATATTGTATTGTTAGGAGACGTTGATATTTTTTAAAAAGCAATATGAACATGGTGCCTTTATGTGTGAGGTGTGTTTTGAAATTAATGTTACTTACAGAGAAAATATAGACTGTTATAGGAACAAATTGTTATATTATACATAAAATTTTCGTTTATTTTATTGAAAATATTACAAAACTGTCAATGCATTCATTACAATAAATAAATTGTTTCTTTTTGGTAACTTATTTTATTTTTTACCAGGAAAATAACTTTTATATGTGTAAATATTTTAAATGTCAGTTTATTTCAACCCCAAAGACACGCCTATGTTTTTTTGCGAAAAAATACGAGTACATAAATTACTCTACAAGAAAAACCCCTTGGAAATATGAGATGTGAAGATATTCTTTTTAAGTTAAATAATGTACTTTTATGACAATGTGGCAACATAGGTAGGAAAAACACCAGAGAAAAACAAAAATTAACCGGCGGCCTTCAAAATCTTCTAAATAATTTTTAATTTGTTTGAAAAATAGAATTCTACTACCCACTCCTAAAAAACTTTTGCGTTAATTTAAGAATCATCCTGTATGTGCAATAAAACCACCCTCAAAAAAAACTTAATAAAAAAGTTGAAATACAACCAGTAAATCACAAAATTATATTAAAAAAATACATTATGCAACCAATTTAACACTAAATAACGTACAACCTTTGTATTGATTTACGCACGGTTGATTGTCTGCGTTAACATTTTTAATGATAAATATTTAAACATTCCAGAAAATTCTCATTTTTTCCTCTTAATTTCATGTAATTGTCACCACTAACATTTCCGTTTTACTAAAAACTATATTTTACCTTGATTTTTAAAGACATTTAAAGCAAATACACAGGTAAGTGAATTTTTCTCTTATTACTCTATTCCATGGATTTTAAAGCACTCTGGAAGTTATTAATCGCTTCTCTAACAGCCCTACGTTCCTCGGGAGTCTTTAATTTAACGCACACCTCCTCGAAAGCCTTTTCCTGGTACTGTTTAATAAAACAAAAACATTTTTTAATTGTCGCGCCGATGTATAATATTCTGACGTTCACATTTCGCGACCCTATCTTGTTAATGAAGGGTATACTGCTAGTTACGAGCTTGTGGGGTCCATGTCTCGCTCTAGCGATGGCTATTTTCGTGTATTCGTTGCAGTACTTTGCTGTGAAGCCGGCTTGAATCGAGGCCATACCAAAATCACCATGTAACTGCTCAATTTTATCTTTTATCACTTGCATAATTGCATCGGAGGAGAGTGTGAAATTTGAACTGTCTTTGGGGTCTCTCGGTTCGATTTGTAACACTATATATCTAGAAAGAAAATATATTCTAACTAATATCTCTGCTAATATCCATAGTTTGGGAATACAAGAACTTTAGAAATACCATACCTATTTTTTAGACGCACCATTTTTCTTTATAACATTTATATAATATGCGTTATTTCTATTCCATTTACTGTATTAATCAAACACGATTTGTTATTATAAATAATGTTTTAATTAATAATAAATAAGCAAACTATTCATAACCTAAAATTTTGCGGCTGTTTTTCTTGAGATGTGTGTTGGTGGTTGCCGTACTCCACATATTTGTTCAATATTTGAATTTTTAAAATTCAGGCAGATGAATATTAAAAAAGATAATAAATCTACAGCATTTTGTAATTTTCTGGTGTATCATTTCTTGAAAAAGTCATGTCTATAAATGCAATTCAGGACATACAAAAAATATTCTTGAATGTAATCAAAATTAAATGAATCCTGTTATTTTATTGATATTCTGTTGAAAAAATAAACAAATAAGTTAAGCAAAGAATAATAATAATACACATAGCTTTTAACTAAGATTAATGATGAAAATTTAGTTAACAGGTCACATTCACATGGGCTGTACTTTTAGACACCTGAATTATTCCTCTAGTATTCTGTGATTTGGATATTCGAGTAAAAATATAGAATATCCCATATTTTCAAAGAATAAGCTATATCAAATGTACTTGTTCCTTGTTACCTCGTATTTCTTATCAAAAAGTCATGTAATAATCTTCAATTTTTAATAATTCTATAGTAGGGGAGCTTAAGCTCGCTAAATAGAAATTTATAAGAGCATCAAGGGGACTTAAAGATTAATTTTAGTTGGGAACATAAACGCGTGCCCCCATTATACAGGGTGAGTCAGAAATAAGAGCAAACATTTTCTGGAGTGGTAGATCTCGATAGAAGAAACATAGGTATGTTCTCTTTACCGTTTTCCAAATAAATCCAAAATAATAACCGAGTTATTGAAGATTGAACATTTAAAAAAATGATTTATTTTTAAAAAAAATTGAGAACCACTGTATCTTTTCGGGGTTTTGTTTCTTGTAAGTTTGCAGTACATTGTATGTGTGTATTTTTCAGTACATTAACTGAAATTACCGTACGGTTGGCAACCCTGCTGTTACTGCTTTGTTACAAGTGGTGCAATGTTTCCCACTTTATTTTATTCTGCCACGTCTTTGGTATGTCCCAAAATATCGGCTTAGGCTCACCTACTATTATTTCTCAATGTAGGACCCCCTTGGGAGAAAAAAAAAACATTATCTTGTCTTATAGATTTGCAATTGCGCAAATTTGAACTATACATATAATTGATTTTAGTAGATATAGAATGACGTACTTTTATTTACACATAAAGTTTCCATGAAAGATATATCGAAATAGTTTGAAAAAATAATAATAAAGAAAAGTTATTATCAGTGATGTGTGTTACTTAATCTTTTTTATTTGCATAATTTTGAACGGAGATTATTATTGACGAGTGTTTTTAGTGTTTGTCTTTATCAGAAAACAGCATAGTTTTAGTGCAGACGTATCGGTATAAAGTTTAAAAAAAATGGTGGAAATTATTGGCTCAGGTGAAACAAATTATTTAACTTTGGCAAATTTAAACATACTTAAAACATATTACATTTCGTATTGTATCATATTTATTCTATATCAATATATTTTTTGTTTCTTTAATACAGGGTGGTCCGAATTGTATTCTGTATTGTATATTGTTGTAACTGTATTCCGGAAACTTCGACAGCATATTCTACAGATAAAAGTAAGTAAAAAAGTTCGTATAAATTTGTGTCCTAAAATGCTTCGTTTCGGAGATTTGGGAAGTACAGGATGTTGAAGATGTTGAAGTTTCATCTTTATTTCGATTTTTTCCAAATAATTTCTGAAGTAACGTCAATACTTGGATGAGGTAATGGTGTGGATCCGGTGGCTGACCTTGAAACGAGTTTTTGCTGCATATAGTCACAGACACTACGCATGCGCACATCTTCGATGTTGCCAGATTGCAAGTTATTTTGAAATTATTTTCAGTACAAAAAACAAATATGTGCTTTTCAGTGTTTTTTGTCAATATATAGCGTATGATCGAAAAAACGGCGTCCAGTTGACTGGGAAATGACGATTGAGGACATTTCCCATATAAAATGACATCGATCTTCATTTCAAGTCATCGCTGACGCTATTTTTTTCAATCATAGTACGCGGTATATTATTTATATTATTATTTTAATATTTTGCACAACACGTGAACGCTTATATTATGTATTTTCATAGTCAATAAAATTAAATAGAAATAAAACTCTAGATTCCTATAATTAATCTAATTGCTCTAGATTATTATGCTACGTTTAAAAAGTGCTTTTTTTAAAAATTCGGGAAATTAAAAGGGATATGTCCAAGTTTTTTCTTTTTTTTAAATTTTTAAATGCTGTAGCTCCATGTCATGTTCATAATAGTTTTTTTTACATTCCATCAAAACTACGGAGGCCTTAAAAAACCTTTTAGCCTCCGTAATTAAAATTGTAGAATCAGCTTCAGCAACATTAACAGTTACCTTGTTTAATTCTGCTTATACATATATTGCATTAATTTTTCTGCTACCTTAAGATCTCTCTATTCTTACACCTAATTTATGTGATTTTCTTAGTATAATATGATTTATAAACCATATTTTTCCTAATGGAAGGACGGAATAGGATATGCAAAATTAAGATATTTTAACATTTATTTTCCAGAAAAAGCATAATATAGTACCGTATGATCGAAAAAAAAACAGCGTCCAGTTGGCTTGAAAATGACGATCGATGACATTTCCCATATAATTTTACATATAAAATGACAGCGATCTTCATTTCATAGCCATCTTTGACGCCGTTTTTATTCGATCATACGGTAATAGATAAGACATAACAAATATTATAAGAAAGATCTTAATATAAATCACAAACTAAGTCTTAATTTGGTCTTGTATAAACACAGGTATAAAACTAATAAGATCAAAACTCAACCTTCACCATATTGTCAAGATTTGGCATTATAGGAAACAAGAAATTACAGTAAATTAAGAAAAGAATATCAAAGTACACGATAATAAATACTGTAATGTATTGTACGACACAAACCATCTCCCTTCTAAAGAGAAAAAGATAAAACATAAAGCTTATTTTAGTCTTATCAACACACTCTTTGATAAAATATATGTCTAAAACTGCTATTAATCCACTAACTTGATATTTCTAAGAAATTATGATACAAACATTATAATCAAAGTATATTATATTAGTAACATTATAGGTAAAATGTTACCTCTATCTCCCATTGACGTGTATTGTTCTATAAGACTCGTCAATGGTAGTATTTCAAAACATCAATACATATAATCAAAACTATTGTTGCCTGTAAATAACTAGAAATTAAATAACTTGAAAGAAATAAAATAATTCTAATAAGTTTAAAACCATTAAGAAAAAATCCGTAAATGAAAATTTTTAATTCTAATGTAAATATATAAATAAATGTTATTATTATTACAATTTTATATATTCATAATACTTTAATTTCACAATCTTCATTATCCTTCTTACCTTAAATTTGGATATCAAGTTAAATCTGAAATTATAAAATTAATTATAGAATTTGTATTATTATTGATTAACACTTTAAAAAAAATTTCAACTACAAATAATTCGAAAATAAACTGCAATTTGGCAACATCGACGATGTGCGCTTGCGTAGTATCGATGATCAAATGCAGCAAATATGGGCTTCAAGGTCAGCCACCGGATCCACACCATTACCTACCCTTGGATGAAAATTGGTGTCTGTGGGTTTCTGGATATGAGAAATTTGATTTTGATGTCAATATGACTCCTACTTGTAGGAGGCGTCACCTACGTATTTTTTAACTGTTTGAAGAGTAATAACTTTTCATCCGTACCTGTATTACATTATTGAGTAAAACATTATACATTTCCGACGTTTTTTACGTAAAAAAGATCTCTTGACAAAAATCGCTACGTGTAATGGTTCTTAAGATATTTGGAATTGAAATAATCAGTAGGTACATGCTTTAATTGGTACATGTTATATCATTGACAAAAATTAAATATCTTGACTATATATACAGGGCGTCAAAAATTGTGTATTGTCATGGTGTGTGTGGCGACATCTGTGCCAGAGAAGCGAATTACCGCAACGTATATTAACGGTTTGGTCATTGATTGAGACGCCATCTCTTAGTCAAGTAGAAAAGCGAGTTCTAACCAGGCAGCAGAATTTACTGGTAGATTGCAGAAGGGTATCGGAAACTTACAGATAATTTTCGAACGTTACAGAAACAGCTGCTATAGGATATATAAAAAGCCCGCGCTCGGCAGTTGAGCTAGTTTGAAGTTTGAAAATACGGTTGTTTTAAATTGTGAATCGTGGCAATTTGGCGAATGATTCTTTTAAATAGTTAATTGTGTATTGTAATCAGTATACACTGTGTGTATATAGTAAGAAAATAAAATATTAACATAAGTTCAGAAATTATTAAACAAAATCAAGATAGAAATGAAACATCTACACCCTGTATCTCCGAAACTAAGCACTTTAAAACATACATTTATACCTTATTTATACGAACTTTATTACAAATTTTTATCTGTCGCACAAGCTGCTGAAGTTTCCCGAACACATATAAAATTAATTTTTAGCAAAGGAAGATCAAAAAATGGCCGGTGATTTGAACCAAAAAGTGGAGGAGTGGTTACGATGGGACAAGAACCCGAAAACCAGGGACGAAATAAAAAAATTAGCCGACCAAAATCAGACAAAAGACTTGGAAAAAATTCTGATGAAAAGAGTGGCGTTTGGTACAGATTTTTTATCGGTTTTGTGTATTTTTTTATTGTTTTTTCGTGATTTTTGTATAGGTACGGCGGGTTTGAGAGGTAAAATGGCCGCGGGATATGCGTGCATGAATGATCTGGTGATAATACAAACGGCTCAGGGTTTTTTGAAGTACCTAGAACAAAACAGGGCTGCTGCTTTAAAGGCCGAGGGCCTTGTGATTGGGTACGATGGGAGGCATAACAGCAAAAGGTAAAATTATTATTTAAAGAGATAAAAAAAAATAGTATATTGAAAAATTGATTTTTATTTAAAATCTGAGCTACATTGGTATAGAAAACCACACATAGTTTGAAAGAGCATTTAAATAGGTTGTTGCATTTGAAATAACAAAGTTTTTTTTAAATACATATTTAAAAATAGATCAGCAATTTTTGGTACCCTTGCATAAATTTAAGGAAGCAGTAACATTTTTTAGTAAAGTTTATTTCTCTACCTTTAAACTCAGCACATGAATTAATTCTGAAATGTAATGTACAGGGTGTTCTGTTCTATTGTAGCATGCATATTTAAATATCTTAAAAACCAAAGATTTTAAGCATATTTAACCCTCACAATAAATGTCTTTTTTTAGGCCCAATAATCTAAAAACTAAATAAAATACCGGGTGTTCCATAAGAAAAAATATAACTTTGGTATGGATATTAGTTCTGAAACATCCTGTATATTTCAAAATATTTTTAAAATGTGCACATTTCCTCCCCACACATACCCATAAAATATTTTGTTTCTACATCATTCCGTTTTCGTATAATCAACCGAGGTGAATGAGGTGCGCCCTGTATAGTAATACTTATAGAATATTAGGTTCTAGGCAAACTATACTATTTTGCATTTAATTTAATGAATATATTGAATAATCTCTCCAAAAAAGTCCTATGGCTATTTCGCCACTGTAAGAAAATCTACAAAATAAAATAGTTGTTTTTTGTAAACACTGCTGCGATAATCCAACGGAGACTAATTGTCAGCAGTGGCTTACTTATAAACAAATTTGTCTAACGGACAAAAAAATCCTTAACGTTTCGGAAAGTATATCTCTTTCCGTCGTCGGAAGCAAAAAAAATACGAAGAACAATGAAAAAAAAACCTATTTTATCTAAATGCAACTATTCGAGAACACTTTGTTTTTTTTAAACAGATACGTCTACAAAAACCGTTGACGTTCTGTTAAAATGACATTATATCAAGTTAAACATTATAGACATTTTTTATATTGAATAATGTTTTTATTTTATTTTAATAATAACAGGTGGGCTCAGCTGACGACTACCATTTTTGTTACCGCCGGCTATAAAGTCAGACTGTTTGGAGATTACGCTATAACGCCGTTTATTCCGTTTTCTGTCAAAAAATACGGATGCGCGAGCGGTGTCATGGTTACTGCGTCACACAATCCTAAAGATGACAATGGCTATAAGGTAATACTAAAATTGATAAAATAATATAATATAATAATTTTCCCAATCAGCTCGATATATTGATGATGTTGCCAGTATTACTCATCGAACAATACTACTCTGTTATATTAATCAATTAAGGCCGCGTAAACAAACATAACATATACCGGGTGTAGGAAATCCCATGTAAATTTTAATGGGGTCAATTATTGGCTTCCCTAATTATTTTAGAGAATAATTCTATTTAGGTTTATTGAAGAGCACTAAAACCCACATTCAAAAGAATAACTTTAGATATTTTTGATTAGCCCGTTTACGAGTTATCGCCGATTTCTTTTTAAATATTTCTCCTTTCTTATGGCTCTGTATTTACTTATGAGCACCAGTCAAGGTAATTGATAACTAACTGTCAAATGAAGTTGTCATTTAATAGTACCTAAATTAATAAGTTATTGAATATTGTAATAATACTATAATTAACCTTGTAATTGATTACATTATTTTACATTAATTCATATTAATTTGTATTTATAAATACATCTTTAAGATTTCCGATGTAGGAGTGAGTTTTCAATAATAATAAAGCACTAAATAGGTAAATTTCTGAAATGACAACTTCATTTGACAGTTATCTTTTACCTTGATTGGTGCTCATAAGTAAATACAGGGCCATAAGAAAGGAGAAATATTTAAAAAGAAATCGGGCGATAACTCGTAAACGAGCTAATCAAAAATATCTAAAGTTATTCTTTTGAATGTGGGTTTTAGTGCTACCGTAAAATGGGGGGAATAGAAACATAGTGGTGAATAGAAACAAAATTTCTGAAAAAAATCAAATCACGATTAAAAATATTCAAAGTAAAAAGAGTCGACATATCTAATTTTTCTATCATTGGTAATACACAATAAAATGTAAAAACTATATTTTTATCTGTGGCAGCACTGTTTCAGTCAATCCGCTGATCAATAAATGTGAGATCGATTTATCACCTATTTTGTATGGCGCGAAACTTTATAAATAAAATATTTACTTTTAAAGTAATACATAAGCTGGTACATGTAAGTTGTTATATTATATGTATTGTTAATTATTGTTAAACCTACTTAAATATGTAATAATTTACTGTTTCTAATCACCTTGTTGGAAATAGAATAGATAAAAACCTTAACATCAATGTGTGTTTCTATTCTCCCGAATAGCAGGTGAATAGAAACACAAATGTTATTTTTATTTAATATTTATATGCATATTTTTCAAAAATCAAATTATACGTATACGCAAAGAACAAACAAAGACCCATGTTTTAAAATATTCGGGAAAATAATATCACATTTTTATCAACCGGTATATCGCTAATAGCCTACGAAACTGTTTCTATTCACCCCATTTTACGGTATTCAATAAACCAAAATAGAATTATTCTCTAAAATAATTAAGGAAGCCAATAATTGCCCCATTAAAATTTACATGGGATTTCCTATGTCCCGTCCGACGATGCAACACCCTGTATAGTTAAGTACCATAATTTTTAAAATTCATTGTGTGTTTTTATAGTTAGACGTAGATAAAAGATTGTGCAATACACGCGAGTTAACTCCATTAAGTACTTGTGTGGTTACACAACTCGTGTTACGCACTCGTGCGACTTTCACACGCGTATCTTTATGATGCTGTTAACTCATTTGTATCGTAAATATCTATTAAGTGTCTTAATTGAAGGTTTACGACTGTAACGGAGCTCAAATTGTCCCTCCCTGCGACAGAATGATCCAGAACAGCATTATGGAAAACCTGGAACCCAAAGACTCTTCCTGGAAAGTAGAAATATTGCAAAATCACCCTCTCGTAATAGATCCGATGAAGGACGCTTTGGACAGCTACTTAAAAACGGTTATTCAGGACATGATTCATCCAGACTACATCGAATGCAACAAGAAAGTCGGTTTGACGTTTACCTACACTCCACTACACGGGACGGGGTATATGCCCGTGGAAAAAGTGGTGCAGGTGGTTGGGATCAAGATTGCTACAGTTCCGGAACAGAAGGAACCTGATCCGGATTTTCCAACAGTCAAGTAAGATATTTGATATTTTACTAGGTAATCTTACTTAAGGTGTATTCCGTTGCTTACCTTGGTTATGGTTTTATGTTCCGTTTCTATCGGTTTCCTGAAAGTTTTCTTATTACGGAACACGGTTCCTGAAAAATTCGGTTATAACTGTCACTAAATTAACCAGCACGAGAAGGCTGGTTTTTCTGGTTGCGAAACAACTAAATAGACTGACTTTTTAGGACCATTTGAACTTATCATGCAGCCATTGTTTCTTAAAGTCAGGAACATTTAAAGAAAACATGAAAAACAAGACAACAAGTAATCGTGAATGTTTTGTAAACTATAAAAATATAAATATAGCTTTTGAATAACGGTCTAGATAAAGCATCTAGCTCATTTACCAGCTCAGAATTAGAAAAATTCAGACCAATAATCAACGAGAATATTCGTATAATTTAATAAAATCACTGTAAATCACTATAAATAATAAATTGTTTGTAATTGAGTTGTAATTTCTGTATTGTTAATCCGGTAAATGATGGTGATCAACAATTGTGATTGATTAAAATTTTATTTTGAGATGAAAATTTTGTTAATTACTAATATAATTAAAAAAATGAAACAATATTTTGAGAATTTCAACAGTGCCTTCTATTAAAAGATCAGCCTGGTGGCGGACTTTTGTTTACTTCATCAGCTGTACATACTTAGATATTGGGTTAGATTCCGTTTCATATTTTGTCGGTTGATTTTTGGTTTTAACTCTTTGATTTTTGGTATTATTTATTATTGTAGTACAAAAAACTAATTATTTTGGTGTTTAAGTGACATAAACTACTACCAGATATATGGTCACTCTCGGTTTCGCATAAAAAAATAGAAAAATTGAAAAATTACACGTTGTGTAAGTGATTTAACCTAAAAGTGCATACATTTTTTACTTATCGTGATTTTTGTGTGTGTTGTTTAAGACTCTAACAATTCATCAATAAAGCTTAAGTGGAGTGTGCTTTTGGTGCTATGCCTCATCTTTGTTGTGTTTCTGGTGGAAAGGATAGTTATACTAGGCAGCCTAAAGTGTCCGGAAGAGCAAGAAAAGTGGGTACGAGTTATAAATCAACAGAATCCTATTGAAAATATCTTTAATAAATTTAAAAATAATATTCTCCCATGATGGTATTAATGAAAACTGGACAATTATATTTATTTTATTCATATTATGGAATCTCCACTCCAAATGTTGTTGGTTCAGCTTCGATAGATTCAAACACGTAAGTAGGTATTATGATCTAGGGAAAAATAAAGAATATGTGTATTAAAGATCATGAAATCGATTATTATTTTGAGTTCAAATTTTAAAAAAGATTTTTGTAAAGACAAGACTGATACAGTTTAAAAGAAGAATGTGTTTTGTTTGATAATATATAATGTATGTCAAGCATAAAATATATTTGTTCAGTAATTTTTAATGAATAGTGTTGATTATTTATAATACCAAATTAATATCAAATATTTATGTGATGGCTGAATACAATATGAATAAAATAACAATAAAATTGGTATATTTGCATAATACAAAATTAAGTTTTAAGAATAAAGGTGTTACTAAAAATACTAAGAAATTCATATTTCTTTGTTTTAATTGGTCTAATGTTATTTACATTTTACGTAAGAATTATACCGTATCATCGAAAAAAATCGGCGTCTAGTTGGCTTGGAAATGAACATCGATGACATTCCCTAAATAACTGTACACATAAAATAATTAACTAGAATTTTACAATCTTGGAAAATTTGATATTCTTGAACCTTGTTTCTAAATATTCTAAATTTTTTGATTTTCTTGGGATTTAGGTTCGGGAAAAACGCTGATTAAGTTTTCATTTGGTTTTTCATTATTTTTATTTGGTTTAAAAAAAAACGTTTCGGCTAACATTATAGCCTTCATCAGTGTTGTGTCATATGAAAAAAATAGTGTCGAATATAATCCAAAAAATTACATATAGAATATTCACACCACGCACAATGTTTACTGCGTACTCCATAGTCAATGTAGATAATTTTAGTGTTAAGAATAATAATTTTAAAAAATATGTGGTCATCTTTTGATAAGTTTATATTAGTTTATTAATTGCAGTAAACATTATGAGGTGTGAATTATATTGTATATGTAATTTTTTGGATTATATTCGACACTATTTTTCTCATATGACACAACACTAATGAAGACTATAGTTAGCCGAAACGTTTTTTTAAACCAAATAAAAATAATGAAAACCCAAATGAAAACTTAAATCAGCGTTTTTCCCAAACCTAAAAATCCCAAGAAAATCAAAAATTTTAGAATAATTTTACATATAAAATGCCAGCGATCTTCATTTCATAGCCATCGCTGACGCCTTTTTTTAGATAATATTGTATTATTTGTAAATATAAGTTTTCTAACATTGATACTTGCAAAATATACATGTAAATTTTGTGAATGCAAATAATAATACATCACTAGTAGATATTGAATGTTTTTTGTTAAAATATATCGATTTTCAAACCCCAAAATTTAAAATATATTTACATTTTACCCATTATCTTATGTACCTATACATTATTTGTACATTGTAAAACATTTGCTGCATTTGTATGGTTCATAGTTTATTTGCCAAATTATTTATTACTATAAATAGGTATATATGTTGTAGTTATTAACTGTATATTATATATATTTCATGTAAACTATATCATTTTTAAAATACAAACCAAAAATCTGAGGAATAATTATGTTTTCCATGTATTCTACAACATATTTATTAATCCGTTATATCTAACTAGCGTGACGTCATAAATCTCGCCCGTAGGCTGATCTTTTAATAGAAGGCACTGATTTGAATAATGATGACAAGACAAGTGACATCTGTCTAAAAAACACAGCGATTTAGAGTGACAATTTGGTTGTCTAAAATTTAGAGGGACAATTTTGATTAAGCAAAAAAAATACATATTCTATGAGTTTACTGGTTGCCTAACGATTAACATTAATCTAAAAATAAATATCCAACATGAACATGAATAATGAACAAAGCATTTAAACAAAAACAGACCATAGACTGCACAAAACAAGTCGGTTAGTAGCAGTTAGTTAGTATTAGTCAGAGAAATATATGTAGTAGTATTTTGGTTTAATGGCCACAGCTATTCGGCCGGGTAATAGAATTATCGTTTTTTTAACAAAAATTAAAAAAAAAACATTATAAAATTATGAAGCTAGAATAGTATACGGTTTTATATTAACTCTAATTTTTTCGAAGTCTATAAAAAGCATTCATAAAAAATATATATCTTTCAAATCCTTGAATTTAATACCTGTTAGTAAGAACTTTCACTTCAAATATGCGCAGATAGTGCACATACATTTTTTTTCTTAGATTTCCCAACCCCGAAGAAGGCAAGAGCAGTTTGGACCTGTCCTTCAAACACGCAGCACTGAATAACTCGTCTGTCATTCTAGCCAACGATCCTGACGCTGACAGGTTCGCTGTGGCCGAAAAAAACAACAAGTAAGCACAAAAATCTATTTTTCTTCATATTAATAATAATTTCCGTTATTTCTAGGACAGGCGAATGGAAAATATTCACTGGAAACGAACTGGGCGCCCTCTTCGGTTACTGGACCTTCCAGACTTACAAAAAATTCAAACCGAACGCTCCCGTGAATAAAGTTTACATGATTGCCAGCACTGTCAGCTCGATGATACTGAAAACTATGGCCAAGCGTGAAGGATTCAATTTCGTTGACACTCTGACTGGATTCAAATGGATTGGTAAGAACCTTTCAATCTCCTATGCCTCAATCTATCAAAAACTAAAGTTTTGTCATATAAAAGTACTATACAACATTTTGTACTTAATAACACCACTATTGACGTGGTGGAAATTCTTAGGACTTGTTGTAGACAACTCGTTAAAATGGGACTTGCACATCAAAGAAACCAAGCGCTGCCTGTTTTGTGCTAAGATCAGTTTCTAAGGAATTTAACTTATCAACCTCTAGAATAGTCCATTATACCCTTTTTGAGTCGCATCTTCGTTATGCCCTTCCATTCTGGGGTACTTGCTGCGCAACAAAATTTGATCGTATTTTCAAACTTCAAAAGAGAGCAGTTCGATATTTATTGGGATTGAACAGTAGAACTCACTGGCAGAATTTCTTTAAACATTTCAAAATACTGCCTTTTCCTTCTTTATTCGTTTTTGAATCCGTTTGCTTAATCCGCAAGCACATATCTGCTATTCCCGAAAGGCCATCTCAGAACTATCCTCTTAGGAATGCGGAGCACGATCTTTATCTGCCAACCCCGAGCTCAGAACTAGTTAAAGGCTCAATACTGTCAATGAAATGTCAAAGAAATGTACAATCATCTGCCTTTGAATATCAAGTCGCTTTCATTCTTTCCCGCATTTCGCAAAGCTCTGAAATCATACTTACTGGAGAGAGCCCTATATGCGGCGAACGATTTTTTTGTTGATATTTAATCATGAACAATTTTGAATTTTAAAATTTTGATCATCTCACACACTGGTCAAAGATCTAGTATTTAATATTTTATAACTCTTACATGATTATATCCATTTACAATTTTCCTATTGTAAAATTTTATTGAAACGCCTTTTTTGTGTTCTGCAATATCCATGTATGTGTTATTTGTAATTTTAATGACGTATTATTTTAATAACTACCAACATTATTTATTCACAACGTAAAATAAAACAACAAATTATTGAGTCTGCCCATGTCTACCCTACTTCATATTTTTACACCGGAATTTACGTCGGACATTTTAGAGTCCCGTCGCGGTCAATCTTAGATTTTTGATATGCTCCTTTGATATATTTTAATTCCTTACTGTCTTAACATATTCCACAGGGTGTTTCAAACTTTCAACTAAATACCAACATTTTGTTTTCCCTCGTATAATTGACAGACCGGAAGTTTCATTTTTAATTTAGAAAGAGGTATTAAACAGCCAAATAATTTGGTTGCAATAATAATATTGCTTAAAAAATCATCGAAAGCGGCTCACTAGAATAACAGTTATTTTTTATACAAGTCGATAAAACAAAAATTTTTTCCATAGAGAGTTACGTTTTGAAAAATATTCAGAAATTATTATTTCAAGGAATTTATCACGAGTAGAAAAAATATTGTGCTGGGTTGGTGTTGGTATCTATGTAATTTGACAAATAAATAAAGCTGTCTCTTTAGTTGTCAGTTTTGAGTCAATATTTTTTAATTCTCTTTCGTGTCGATTGCTGATTGAATTGGAGCCAGAAATGGCTCAAAACGAATTAAGTAAATTACCAACAGATATTCAGGTTGAGACGGCAAACGCCATATCCAAACTACTTCCATTTAGAGGTGGGAATTCTAGTTCCTTGGGAGGAACTAGTTCCTTAGTTCTAGTTTCTCCAGAGGAATAGTTCCTTGAACTTGGTCTTTAGTTCACAGTAGTTCCCGACTAACATTGACATCCCCCTTGCTTGCTAATGCGTTTCGTTGTCAGTCAGAACTATTCACAGTATGATCTGTATAATTTTTATAATGTACGGAGATATAACAAGTCGTGTAATTGTGTATGTTAAAAACATATAGGTAAGTTTTATTGCAGATAAAAAAAATAAAAAAAACTCAAATCAGAATTTAAAAAACTATATCATAAATCAATTGGAGCAAATATTACAAAAAATTTACGAAAAATTGCATTTTTCCTCATTTCAAGCTTTTTGTTTTTGTCTAAAAATTCAGAATATCTACTTTGTTTTATAAGATATTTCTTAATTTTAGGGACCTAAATTGAAACGTTCCCATAAAATATTTAAAAAACAAACTAAAAATCAAAAACAGCATCAACGACAATTTTCTGTGATAATTACGCCGCGCCGGCTATGGCAATAGACAAGGCCGAATCCATCGTCGTCGCCTTGTATTATATTTCGGATCTGCCGACTGAATAGATTCCCGTGAACTAGTCTTTTAATAGTTCCTCTATGTCCGGATCCGATAACATACGGCTGGCACTCCCCACGCCTGCCTAACATCAATCGCGCTGGCTGATCCATACGTAAACTAGTCTTTTATTTAGTTCCTCTAGTTCCTTTAGGTCCGGATCCGATAACATACGGCATACGGCTGGCACTCGCCACTCCTGCCTAGTATCGATAGCGCTGGCCCGATCCGTTCGTACGTAAACTAGTCTATTTAGTTTAGTCTCTGGTTTAGTTCCTCTAGGTCCGGATCCGATAACGTACGGCTGGCACTCCCCACTCCTGCCTACCATTGGGCTACGCGCGCTAGCCGATCCGTCGCCGTCGCATATTATTCTGTATTCTGTATTATTCGGTCCTGTGATCGAGACTGTTCTCGATCCCGGAATAGGTTCTGAGGAACTAGTTCTTTGAGAAACCAGGAATTAGTTCCTTTCATTCCGGGATCGGAATAGTTCATTGGAACTAGTTCGTTCACGAACTACACACCTCTACTTCCATTTAAATCCCGAATAACTTACGAAAAGGAATATAAACATTTTCAAAAATGGAAGCAATTAAAAAACGTGCCAGAAGAAATAAAGTTTTTAACCTATTCTCGCTGTTAAAGTATCATTTAATCTACTCTTGCAGTTAAAGTACTATTTTATCTACTATTTTTGATCTATAAGGCAATTTTAACAGTTACTATGGAAAAAAAATATTAAACTTTAAAATACATCAAAATTTTAAGGTGCTTGTTTTTCGTATAATTTATTATTTTCAATAAAAGTTTCTGATTATAAGCATTTTGTCAAAATTCAGGTAACAAGGCTTTGCAACTGGAAAAAGAAGGCTTCGACGTCATTCTATGCTTCGAGGAAGCTATCGGTTTCATGTGCAACAGCAAAGTAACCGACAAGGATGGCGTGTCTGCCTTGGCTCTTTTTTCCTGTCTAGTTTCACAGCTTTACGGGAACGGGCAACAGATCGTGGACAAACTGACCGAAATCTACGATTACTACGGATTCCACATGTCGAATAATTCGTACTACTTTTGTCACGAACCTCCCAAGATCACAGCGATCTTTAAAAGGATCAGAAATTTTGGAGGAAAGGATAAAGTAAGTGACTATCTTACCCAGATTAAATTTTTTCCCAGAAATATGTGTGAGTATATTAAGGGGTGGCAGATCTGGCCAAAAGAGACATATGGTAATCGCAAAACATTTTCCGATGCACGTCATCAATCATATCGACATTGACATAACAGTCAATAAACCTGACTAAATGAAATTTTGGCAAAAATGTTTAAATTTGATGTGTAATTTAAGATACCGAGCAGCTCTTCATTTTACTTTATAGAGCAAATGACTGTAACAGATATTTTATTTAGATTAATGCCCGGACCCCATTAGCCAACATGCTACGCCACGCGATGCCATGCTACCCCACGTCATGTAGATCAGTGCGTATGTTTTTCCATTTAATTACATCTATTGCGTGCACACTAGGCAACATGCCACGCCATCCGACGCTATAACACGCTATGACACGTGTGATGGTCGATACGACGCACAGTGCTTCGAACATATGGCTCTAGAGGACAAAAATGCAAAACTTCTCTTTTATTGTAGGCAATTTATTCAAACTAGGTTTATTTGACACAAATGATGAGTACTCTCATTGTACTAAATGATGATGTTCTTAGTCCCACGTTTATGAAAAAAAATCTTATAAATAATAAAAATGTTGGAGCTCTGTTCCATCTAAGGAAATAATAATTTATAGTATGAAAACGGTGTAAGTATTAAATAAATCCCTGTGATAAAAAAGAATTGAAATAACATTAAAACATGATTCCTACAATATAACCCTAATATAAGATAAAAATGTTTTTCTTTAATGAAAAAGAAACATTAATGTTATATTTAATTAAAAAAAACTTAAGATACTATAAATTTACTTTAGAACAACAAAATGCATAGATCGTAACTACTTTGATTCAGAAGAATCACTGCTGACAGAATCTTCCAAATTTATAGTATCCAAATCACAGGTAGATGAAGTATCCTTACATATAAGATATTTCTATACATCATTTTCTAATATGTTACTTTTTCGTGTTGTTACTGTTCTTTTTGTTGGTATGAGGGGTTCGGATATTAATGGTTACATCTTTAGTAGACCATATCCATATATTATTTTTTCCATTTCTTGGGTATGAGGTTTTATAATAAATTGAAATATGGAAACTTTTTTTATGCGACGTTTCGCTCCAACATAGTGGGCTTTTTCAGGCACAAGTGGTGTCTCATTTGACTGGAAGGTTCATCAATATCTAATATAGAACACATTTTTTGAAATACAAATAATTTTGAGTTCTTGTCCTTATGATCAAGCCAAGTATTAACCAGATCGGCATTGCTTATCAATTTTACTCCATCTGAAAAGTATTATAAAATAAAGTTCGTCGCAAGCAGACGCAGGTGAACTATACAAAAATTAAAAGTGTTTGAATATGACAACAAAAATATTCAATAAATACGATATGTTTTGATATATTTTTTTTAAATGCCTTTTTGAAGTTTGAAAACGTAAAATTTTTATTCCCATTTAAGAATCATCTTAAAAAATAAATAAAAACTAAACAATCACGAACTTGTTTAGAAATAAATTTAAAGTACATACCTTGTTTAACAATATACATAGTGGCTTTCTATTAAGTACCTACCGTTTAACTCCATAATATACAGAACTACTATGAATGTTATTTTTTTCACTGATAAGATAATGGTCGCAAAATTTATTCTTAGTGAAAATATTTGCTAACAAAAAACGCTGTTTATGAAAAATAATATACAGGATGGTTGAACATTGCTATAAGTATAAAATTACATATTCAGATATTAGTAAATTTTAACTTTTTTTTTTCGATTTTTGTTCATGGGACGAAGCACTGTGCGGCGTGTTGTTCCCCGCTTGCCTCTCTAGTCCCGCAGCTATCTGCTTTTGTAATCGATGTAGGAATGTCCCAAAAATAAATTAAATCGATATTTTGAATCGACTCAACATCGGATATAACAAGATAGATCCAGAGAAAGCCGGCAACAAAAGATTGATTTAATAATATCGATATTCGATTCTGAATATACTGGTGTACTGGTATTATGATTATAATCTAATATCGGTATGTGTATCGATACTCCTAGTACTTTGGTAACCTTACTAATAACGTTTTTAACTCTAATAAAAATTTCAGACAATTATCGTAATCACAAAACATTCCCCTTTAGAACTTTTTCATTAATGGCCTAATAAATTTCATTAATAAGCGGGAGTAAAAGCCCAACCGCCCGAACAAACACTAGAGGCGCCACCGGTCATCAAACGGTGTAAAAATTGCGAAAATTTAATCATCTAATTCTGACACAAGGGGTCGCGCTTAACTTTTTCAATTTTAATTCAATATTCATTGTTTTCAAACTAGATTATTAGACTTTGTTGTATTTTGTGAATGTATAAATGTTTTCTTAGTATAATATCTAAAATGTCATTTTGATAACAAGTTAGTTATTGTCAAAAGTAGTTAAAATCATTTTAAAATATTAAAATTTACAAGTTATAATTATATATTTTATATTATTTCCACAACAAACACATAATAGTACAGCGTAATGTTGGTATGCAGGTCCAAAACAAAAAGTGCCGTTATATTTTTCAGTTTTCGTTGTCAGCCGCGGAAGTTTCAATGATTTTAGTGTTGTCGGATATTTTTATTTTTGAAATAGAAATATTGCGTTTGGATTGCAAAACTAAAAGTGGAAGTTTTATTGCAATGTAAGTAAGCGTTTGTCCATTTTATATTTTACTTTTTTCATACCTACGACAAATACATACACTGAAATTTTATAATTCGTTTTATTTAAAAAAAAATGTTAGAACACAAGCTTGTAATCGTGTAATTGACATAATTGTTATGTAATATATTCCATTTAAACGTAATATATTACTTTACAATTAAAAAAATGTAAATTTAAAAAATATATTAAAAATATATACAGGCATTAATTGAAATTTTTTGAGTGCGAACAAACACGAGAGGCGCTTTATTATTTACTTTAATTTCTTAACATGACAGACGAAGTTCTAAAGGGGGATGTTTTGTGATCGTAATGTCAGTCATTATTTTGTATAATATCGTGTTGTTGTTGAATCTTTGTGAGTAATTCTATTTTTTTGCCTATTTTCATAGTCTTTTTTTAAAAATTGCACTTTTAAACACAAACAGTTCTAACTAATTAAATTTTCGAGTTTTTGTATTGCATTTCTTGAAATTGTGTGTTGAAAATATACCGAAGCATTTAAACAGTTCAACCCCTCTCACGGATACCCCGTAGCTACAGAACGGACAGACGTACAGTAAGTAAAATAAGCTATAAAACAAATAAATCAATTAATTACTAAAATATTAGTTATTAAATTAAAAATAAAACGCAAAACTCTTTAAAAAATGATATAATAAATATATTGTTTGTCAATTTTAAATTAAGATTCATCTCATAAATCCATCACAATCTGGCAGCGCTGTCGCCATCGCTTGTTACTCAAAGTTGATCACGTGCATCGGAAATTGTTTTGCGATTACCGTACTAGTTAAAATACTTGCACTTATTTCTGGGACACCCTGTATATTAGTGTATTAATTAACGAATAAAATATGTTTTCTTTCAGTATCCTTCAGGAATTCTCAACAACAAATATAAAATCGTGTCGATCCGCGATCTGACAACGGGGTACGACAACAGTCAACCTGGCAACAGGGCGATTTTGCCAGTGTCGTGCCAATCGGAAATGATCACGTTTGTTTTTGACAACGGTCTCTTTATAACCTTGAGAACCAGCGGTACCGAACCGAAAGTTAAGTATTATTCCGAACTCTGTATGAGTCCTGATGTTAAGTAAGTATTATTTTACTTTTTATTCACTTCCTAGCTACAGTACATACCCAAGAACGGTAATCTAATAGGATTGCTCATCCTCATAAGACGTACGTTCGCCTCTTCCCGCGCTTCAGCTGACAGTTGTGACGTCATTGTAGTCCTTGTTATGGTAGTGTGTATTATAGGTTGCCTATGGTAAACTAATAAAAATAACAGCTGAGAAATTTTGAGTTAATTATTTTGTCGATTTTAAATGTGAAAAGGGTGCTTTTAAAGATTTTAGAGCTATAGAGTTTATAGATACGTTCATTTTGTGTTGTGGATTGTGACTAAGTGCTTACTAAGTGTCTACGATATTGTTTATTATTATTTTAAAGCAAAATATGTAAGTACTCTAAAAAGAATGCCTGCAAAAGGTGATACTGGGAACTAGTGTTCATAAAAATGCATAATGCGAATATTTAATACGATTTATACAGTTAATTTTCTATACTGCATACATATAAGGTGTTTAAATAAATAAACTAAATAATTAATGTTTTGCATACGGCAACCAATAATACACACACTGTCATGACAAGGACTACAATGACGTCACAAAGCGAAGAGTTTTCGCATGTACCTGGTACTACCAGCTCTGCGAAATAGAACAAGTAGTTTTTCAAAGGAACGCTTATCAGGAAGATTGCTATTTGGATATTTTTGAGCATAAGCCCTCGAGGCCAAGAAGCAATTTTCCTCACAAAATAAAATCACTAGTAACATATCCATTCGTTCCGGCAGCAGATACCTACTGCTTTATTTTTCTTTATGAAATAATGAATACTTACTTATTAAACTATTGTAGACAAATCTTAGTAAACTGTGATAAATTATAAATAATAATGTCTATAAATTAATGTTGACTTTGAAAATAGTTACTAACTGTCACTAAAAAATTGTCATGGCGACACCAGCCATCTTGATTGCAATTTTATTTAAAAATCGCTTTTTATTCAAAATCTGAGCTAGATAGGTATAGGAAAGCCTAATATACTTTTAAAGAGCATTTGAATCTGCTTCGATTTATTTTAAAAAATACAGGATGTTGCATTTAAAATAACGAAGTTTTTATATAAAATAAATTCTTACAATAGATCAGCAATTTTTGATACCCCTGTATAAATTTAAGGAAGGAATACTATTTTTCAGTAAAGTTTATTTCTCTACCTTTAAACTCAGCACAAGAATTAATTCTGAAAAGTAATGTACAGGGTGTTAATAATATTGTAGCTTGCAAATTTAAATATCTTTAAATATCTCAAAAACCAAAGATTTTAAACATATTTAACCCTTATAATAAATGCCTTTTTTTGGGCCCAAGAATCCAAAAATGAAATAAAATACCGGGTGTTCCATAAGAAAAAATATAACTTTGGTATGTATCTTAGTTCTGACACACCCTGTACATATGAAAATAATTTTAAATTGTGCCATATTGCCTCCCCACATATACTCATAAAAAAATTTGTTTCTACATCTTTCCGTTTTCGTATAATCAACCGAGGCGAATGAGGTGCGCCACACTGTATATTCAAAGCTTTTACATCATACCTTTTTAAATTTGTCATTATCCTCTTACTATCAAAAAATAAAGATTTGCTACTAAAGTTAATGATTTATTTTCTGTTTTTAGAGACAAAGCAGTAGTTGAATCGACTTTAAACGAAATGGTTGCTGCCATATGCCAGGAGTTCTTTGAACCAGACAAGAACGGACTTATTCCACAAACGCGTTAAAGAAAGCACGAAAACGACATTCCACTTTTTATATGATCTGAATTAATTTATTCTACACACTAAATTCAACAATGTTCCTTGTAATTTATTAACTATTAAATTATTCGTAACTTTAAGAACTTTTATTGTTAGTATTTAATATATTCAAATGCAAAAAAACGCAACAACCCCCATTTTGGATTTTAGGTTCCTGTTCTAAAATTGTTTTGAATAAAATAAAACAACTTGGATTTTTTGGGGCGTTTGACTTTTTTTGTTTATTATTCATAATAACAACACATATATAGTAACATATATATTTTGGTGAACAAATAATTATTTTAGTAATGGGATTTTCCGTTTACAATGTGTTTCCATCATCTCGTCGATCGCATATGTACAAAATACAGGGCGTTCTATTTTTTTCGGTAGCTTTTCGAAGTGAAATAGATATTTACCCTGTATATTATTATGTCAGGGCGAGTCTTTTTTATTTGGAAAATATTACGTTATCGTACAGGGTCATCATAAAAAAACAAATCTAAAAAAACTACAAATGAGATTAAAACATTTTTCTTCGCAAGTATCACCCTGTATACCGTTACGTGACTTTTACCCTTGATGAACGAGCTACCGCAATAGAACACCCTGTATATAACAGTAAGGATATAAACAGTTACAGTAAAAAACGCTTGAGTGGTAAAAAATCGCCAAAAACTTAATTAAACAAAAAATATAAATATATTTTTTTTAATATTCGACATCTTCTTGAACATTGTTATGAGTAAGTATATAAATTTTTTAATACAATTGCACAGTTTTAGCACATTTTTTTTTAGATCATTAACGTAAACTGTCAAAATAAAAAGAACTCAAAAAACCTGAAGAAAAAATTAGTAAGTTATTCCTTATTTCAATTTTACTTGCTTTAAAATCCTCTTGAGTTCTTTATGTTTTTAAGTTTACATTAATTCACGTTTAACAAAATATAATATAACAAAAAAACAACAGACATATGGGTTATAAGCCTAGTTGTAGTAAATAATGCTATTTTCCTCTACCTAAACCCTAGGTATACATAATCACAGATCTAAAAAATTTTACTAATGATTAATATAAGTGGCATCATCCAAAAAACAAACATAATATTACAATAGTTCATTTTACTTAAGAAAAAATAAAATATTTTGTACATAACACAGTTTCGGTGAAAATCTGAAAATTACATCAACGTGGCAACGTCGATTTTTTAGACGTCAGTTCCAGTGGCGTACAAGATATTTATATTTTTTTTAAGAAAAATATCCGATGACTTTTTATTAAATTTATTTTATACAGCGCGTTAAATAAAACAAATAAATATAACAATTAAAGATACTTAGATAAGTATTTTCTTTATATATACACACTTACAATCAATTAATTGGTTATATACATTTAAACTTTTAATTATTGAGACGTTTTAGGTAGTTTTTTCTATACATTAAGTGTCTTTTTTTCACGTATTCCGGTTTTTTCCTGACCACGCTATATATGTTACGTTATTTTAATCTTTTACAAGCTAGGGTATTTACAGAGATCACAATTAAGTATTACGTACAAACGTTAATTGTATTATTATTATTATTACCTTACATATTAAAGGTTGTAATGTACGGGAAAGAACATTTAACTTTTTTTCTTTAGTTCTAAAAGGGTTGGTTTTTTATGTTTCATTCAAATTCATCAGGGTATTATTATAGTCTTTTTAGTTCAATGTGGATAACAATGTAGTTGCAGAGTTCTGTAATGTCTGATAAGGTAATGAAGAAAGATTAAGTAAGTTTTTTTACAAAAAAATGTTGAATTTTTTTTTTTGAAATTTTTCTGGAAAATCAAAAAAAAATTTAGTGCTACAGATTCATTCTCCTGAAAGTTCTTCACAGTGTATCGAGACATTCCCATGTTGCCACTTCCTACGTTACCTACATTTTGAATATTTGTGTGTTTATAGTAGTAGTGGGAACTATCGAATGAATACTATCGAAACATTCGATAGTTGCAATTCATTCGAATAATTCGATAGTTAGTAAGAAAACATTCGTTGAAAACTATTCGAATAAAAATTATCGAATAGATCCGTCATCTGCCTTGAAATATTGTATTCTAGTAATTCGGCAGCAAAAACCATTCATTTATAAAATTCATTCATTTATAAAATTCATTCATTTATAAAATTCATTCATTTATGAAATTCATTTATTCGTCAGGATCGATTATAATAAAATATTAACTGAATTTTAGTTGTCGGCCGGCGACGTAGGTTTTTTTCCGAGAAAGCGGTCGGTGGCAATGCCATGAAAGAAGCCGGCATCTTTGATTTTTTGCGGAGTCATATATAGATAAGGACACATTATTTTTTTTTATTGAGGTGCTAGTATTTACACAGAAAATACATTATGAAGGGCGCTGTTGCCATATTTTTGTATTAGTTGATATTAGCAAAGAATATTATTGTTTGGCTTTAGTTAGTTAGGGATAGTATGTCTATATATTCTGCATTTTTTATTAATATTCTGTTGTTACACTGCAATAATACTTGTTATTTTGGATGTAGGAAAATTATTTTTAATGTTTTTAAGCAAAGACTGGTTTAATAAATAATAATAACAGTAATAATTTGTTATACCTATTAACAACAAAATTTAAAATCATTTAATATAAATATTTTTTTTAAGTAGTAGCAAAATATAAACAACAAATTAGATGTCAAAATTATTTATATTAGATCCTATTTAAAAATAATATAGTCTCTAATTTTTTTGGCAACGTTGGTTTATTAAATAATAATAATTACAGAACTAATTTGTTATATTAACAACAAATTTTAAAATCATGAAATATAAACATTTATTAATTTTCTAAGCAAGCGGTGTAATGGAAGGAAAATATAAATAAAAATTAGAAATCAAAATTATTTATATTAGGTGCTTTATATTACTATTTAAAAATTATATTTACTTTTACTGGCATTTACTTTAAAAAATAAATGAAATATTTCTTCGCAAAAAACTACATGTAAGAGAATTAGCATAAACAAAATACAAACATCGTTAACTTTTTTTTTAAATTGGCACGTGTAAAATTTTCATTTTAATTTTCTCACCCCATAGTTTGAGTTCGATAACCATTTATTTAACCACATTACTTAAATATAATTATTAAGTTCCAACTAATTCATAGGTATTATTAAAACATCTAAAATACAAATATGTATTTTTAAAATTAATTGTAAGTTCATCTCATCTCTCTTAAAAATTGCTACTTCTCAAAATTTCCCATTAAAAAATAGACCATATACCATATAAAATGAAATAATTGAAAGATCGGACTACGGAAAACCACACAAATTATCGGAAAAATTTTGACCACCTGCACATGCACACAATCGTCAATAAATAAAATTAAAAAATAACTACTATTTTAGTATTTTAATTACTTTAATAAACGCAAAAATAGCACAGTATTTATACGGCGAAGTTATAAAAATTTGGAAGAACCAATAATGCACTGACGCATACAAAATCCAAACGAATACTAAATTTCATTTATCAAAAGCATTCGATAGTCGTGGCTCAACGATAACCATTTAGTCGCACGGCGAGATTGTCACATATGCTTTAGTTTACAAATGAATGAATGATTTTATTCGAATAAAACCATTCGATAGTTGAAATCATTCATTCATTAACCATTCGATAGTCTAATTCATTCGATAGTTCCCATCGCTAGTTTATAGCGCTTCATTCAGAAGCACGCAATTAGTGGTTTCAATTACACTTTATACTTTTTAGTTTACGATCATTCACGATGTTTAAAAAATACAGTTAAAATTACTAGCATATCTAAAATACAAGGACCAGTAACACCCGAGACCAAATTGTTACCATACCTCCAAACAGTGCCGTGCCGCATATTTGTTTTGACTACGCCTATGGTGTATGCTGCTTATTTAGGTGATCTCATACAGAAATGTCTAGCCCCAGCAGCCAACTATTAAGCTTGACCAATCAGGTTGGTTAGCGTGGTTATTTGGAGGGTGTTAATTTATTTGTGTTTGGTCGGGCTTAATAGTTGCCTGCTGGGGCTAGACACAAGTATCTCATACTAATTAATTACAAAAAAAACGAATTAAAATAATGTTATCAAATGGTACAAAACTAGTATCAACGTATGGCACATATGATATTCATTTAATATCAGTAAAACAATTATCAAATTCAATAAGAAAACGCTAAAAAGGTGGAGTGGACAGTTTATTTACTTATGAAAACGTAACTCCTGGCTCTTTCTTATCGTTGCGACTTTTACAGTTGAAAGCTGAACAAATTACCATTGTAATAAAGTTTATACAAAGTTCACTACACACAACAGACTATTAAAAATCGTTGTTGCCAAATCCATTCCTCCAAAAAAATGGCGTCTAACAACACAGATTCTACTTCAACCCGTATATAGGCGTTATATGTTCTTGTATTCTTTAGTCATTGGATTTCTGGTCTATGCAGGCACTTCTCAAAATGTAAGTATTATTTTTGAAAAATTTGAAATCTGAACAACTCGGTTATTTTTAATTTATTTAAAGATTTTATGATTATTGTTATACCACACTTTTAAATAAGAACAATAAAAGTCTAAAATCAACCTTTTATTAACAACTAAAATCAATAACTGTAACACTTGTATTTGAGCATCTTTGTTGAGCATACAAAATTCACGCAACTAACAATACAATCGCGTTTAACTAGTTGCCAACATATCAACATTATTCCGAATATTTATGCAACTAATAATACTCTCATATTTAACTAGTTGCCTATAAACAAACAAACCTTCGTCGTTATCAGACATTAGAGCCAGACTCTTTGAACTAAAGGCGTCTTCACATCAATTACATCATTTCACCTTATTCTACGTTAAAATCATTTAAATCGGAGTGGGCAGTACCGTAAAGTCCTGCAACGCGCACTTGACAGTCTCGTACAGGGGCCGGTTCTCATCAGTGCAGTACCCCTCGGGGGTGCACAGGGTCTGCAGCTTGCTCAGGTAGGAGTCGAAGTTTTCCTGGCCGATTTTCTCCTGCTGCGTTGCCACGCCTCCCCCCGGC